CCCGGCCTGCCACCTCCCTCCCCTGCATCGGGGCTGGCACCGGTGGGCCCGGCCTGGCACCTTCCTCCCCTGCATCGGGGCTGGCCCTATGGGACCCTGCGAGGCCAGGCCGGGCCCCGTCGCCAGCTCCCCTGCCCAGCTGGGGAAGGCCGACACCTCTCTCCTACTGCCTAGGCGGGCAAGTTCAGCCTGATCCCCACCATCATCAACCTGGCCACGGCGCTGACCTCGGTGGGAGTGGTGAGTACGTGCCAGGGCGCTGCCCCTGTCTCCTGCCCGGGCAATGACCCCTTTTCTCTGGTCTCTCTCCCCACCCCCACACCAGGGCTCCTTCCTCTGCGATTGGATCTTACTGACCTTCATGAACAAGAACGAGGTGTACAGCACCTGCAAATTCGACCAGGTACCGTCCCGGCTCCTTGCTCCTGCCAGGCTGGGAGGGACCTACCATGGCCCCCTTCCCCGGCACGGTGGTGGGGGGTTACTGTCCACATCACAGCACAGCTGGAGCAAAGCCATCCCGGCTCCCACCACTAGACTCCACTGCCTCTAGTGAGAAATCCTAGCAGGAAGCCATGGACCAAGCCTGAGTCATTAACTGCTCCCTCTCCTCTATCCGGCCAGATGTCCAGTTGTGTGGAGAAGACCCCACCAGCAGGCACCATAGAAGACGCCTGCCCCGGCTGGGTCTCTCGGCCGGCCCCCCGGGTTCCAGACCGCTCTGAGCTTCCTCCGCCCCCCCACCTGCTGCTGTGACATTGTCGGATGTTAGTAGCACGGCGAGGCAGGGGTGTGCCCCAGATTCAGGGCCGAGGGCGGTGGCCAAGGAAAGCGCCCACTTTGCCAACTCAACTTCCATGATGCCTGTGCTTGTAGGATTTTGGTTTGCGAAGTTACGCCGACGGTCCCGGCCCTCGTTTTTCGACATTTCGCTCTGGGAGAGGGCAGCAAGGGTCCCCCCCTACTTGCGAGGGGTGGTGGCGTGAAAAATGGCCCATAAAAGCAGCCAAGAAACTTCTGAATTCTGCTAGTTGCTTCCAAAGGACCATGGCCAACTTTGTTGAGCATGGGACCGCTCCTGCCACCATCTGTCTTCATGCCTGCTCTGAACTTCAGCCGTATCTTCATGATAAAGAACTCGGAAGGATTGGTTGACCCATCTTGACATCAGACGTACTCCGGAGACGTTGAAGTCGGCAGTTTGTTCCGTCTCGACTAAGACCTTGGGGATTGATGTATGTCACGAGCTTCCTTTAACGACCCTACGCTCAACCTTTTCTTTCTTCTTCCTCAATAAACCCGTAGATGGTAGATTCTAGAGGATTGGCTCAGCGGATCTGAGGCCTACGTTGGCTGGGTGGGCGGGCCCTTCGGGACTGGAAGAACCTGTTTGGATCGGGTGAGGTGGGTTTTCAGACCATATTACCTGTGGAAACAGTGGGACTGGTTGGAGTACAGCCAATGCTGGAGTGTCCAAGGGAATTTGGGGCGATTGTTCATAGCACACTAGAACTGGAAGTGGCCTCAAGAGGTCAAGTCCTGTCCCCTGCCTTCATGGCAGGACCAAGCACCGCCTAGACCATCCCTGGTAGAAGTCTACCCAATCTGATCTTCAATATCTCCAGTGACGGAGACTCTACAACCACCCTTGGCCATTTATCCCAGTGTTTCACCACACGGACAGGTAGGAAGTTTTTCTTAGGGTATGTCTAGACTACAGGGTTTTGTCGACAGATACTGTCGACAAAGCTTCTGTCGACAAAGAGCGTCTAGACGACATCCAGTTCTGTCGACAAAGCAAGCCGCTTTGTCGACATAACAGTGTGGACGCAAAGGACAGTATAGATGCAATAATGCCTTCTATCGACAGAACTCTGTCGACAAAAGGCGTTACTCCTCGTAGAATGAGGTTTACATACGTCGACAAAATGGCTGAGTTTTGTCAACGTTATGTTGACATAACTCAAAGGCAGTGTAGATGCAGATATAGTTTTGTCAACAAAAGTCCACGTTTGTCGACAAAACCCTGTAGTCTAGACACACCTTTAATGTCCAACCTAAACCTCCCTTGCTGCAGTTTAAGCCCATTGCTTCTTGTCCTGTCCTCAGAGAACAATTTTTCTCCCTCCTCTTTGTAACACTTGAAAGCTACTATCCTGTCCCTTCTCAGTCTACTGTTATCGAAACTAACCAAACCCAATTCTTTCAGTCGTCCCTCATAGGTCACGTCTTCTAGACTAATGGTTCCCAACCTTTTTGAGCATACGGACCCCTTTTCAATCGATTAAAATTTCACGGATTGCCTTCCTTTCCTGCCAGAGAGAAAAAAAAGAGGAAACAAAAAAAGAGAAAAAGAGACGAAAAAAGAATAAGAAAAAAGAGAAAGAAAAAAGGGATACAAGACAGAAAAAGAGAGTAAAGGAAAGGAGAAAAAAGAGAGGATGTCTACAGTGCAGGCTTCATGTGCAAGAACCTTTTGGCAGAACAAATCTTCCACAAAAATGTCTTGTACAAAAGCGCATCCACACTGCAAAAGCGCCTCGAAAAAGCAATACGCTTTTGCGCAAGAGCGCATCCAGCCTGCCTGGACACTCTCTCAAAAGGAAACTCCGATTTCTATTTACAGAATGACCACCAAGGCACCTGTGCTTTTTTCGAGTGCCTCTTCTTGCACAAAAAAAACCCCGTTCCCAGTCCCACACGCCTTGAATGACCACCAAGGCACCTGTGCTTTTTTCGATTGTCTCTTTTTGCACAAAAAAAAAAACCCGTTCCCAGCCCCACACGCCTTTTTGCGCAAGATCCCCATCCACACACATCTTTTTCCAGGCCCCGATCTTGCGCAAAAAGGAGTTATTCCTCGTAGAAGGAAGAATACCTACACTGGAAATCCCCGCGTTCTTTCATTTTACTTACGGAAAAACGTGCTTGAAGAGTGGACGCTCCGCAAGTTTTTGCGGAAAAATTGCCTCAAAACGCTGTAGTGTAGACCTAGCCTAAAAGAGAAAAAAGAAAAGAGAGGAAAACAGGAAAAAAGAGAGAGAGAGAGAAAGAGAGAGATTGAAAGGGAGAAAAAAATTTAAAGAAAAGAGGGAAACAAGAAGAGAGAGAAAAGAAAAGAAAAAAATACAAGAGAAAAAAGAAAAGAGGGAAAAAGGAAAAAAGAGATGGGGAAAAAAACGAAAAAAAATACATGAGAAAAAAGGAGAAAGGGAAACAGGGAAAGAAAAAAGGAGAAATAAATACAAGAAAAGAAAGGTGAGGGGGAAAGAGGAAAAGAGAAAACAAGACAAAGAAAGATCCACCGTGGTGGGCCCGATTCTTATTTTTAAAGGTCCCCCATACCCCTGGGGTACCGCCGTGGACCGCCAAGGGTCCGTGGACCACAGGTTGGGAACCACTGCTCTAGACTTTTCATCCTGTGGTTTTCATAAGAACAGCCGTACTGAGTCAGACCAAAGATCCATCCAGTCCAGTAGCCTGTCTGCCGACAGTGGCCAATACCAAATTGCCGAGAGGGAGTGAATCGAACAGGTAACGACCAAGCGATCTCTCTCCTGCCATCCTTCTCCAAACAGAGGCTAGGGACACCAATCCTTACCCATCCTGGCTAATGCCATCAATAGACTTAACCTCCATGAACGTAGCTAGTTCTCTTTTCAACCTTGATATAATCCTGGCCTTCACAACCTCCTCCGGCGAGGAGTTCCACAAGTTGACTGTGCGCTGTGTGAAGAACTTCCTTTGATTTCTTTTAAACCTGCTGCCTCTCGTTCTTATGCGATGGGAACAAGTCAATAACTTTTCCTTATTCACTCTCCTCTTTTCCACGCTGAAAAGTCCCCGTTCTCTTTAATCTCTCTTCATATGGGACCCGTTCCCAACCCCAAATCATTTCATAACCTCTCACCTGTGGAAGATAGGGGGCGGCCCAGGTACAACCGGAGTGTCGACGGGGGTTGCTTGTGGGATTTCTTGCCGGCCAGAGGGGTGTGTGTGTGACTGGTTTGGTGCCTCACGGAGGATCCCCCCGACTTGGGCCGCAGGGAGCCCTGGTTCTAAGCCGTTTGCCCCGATTCGATCCTCCCAAATCATTTCATAACCTCTCACCTGTGGAAGATAGGGGGCGGCCCAGGTACAACCGGAGTGTCGACGGGGGTTGCTTGTGGGATTTCTTGCCGGCCAGAGGGGTGTGTGTGTGACTGGTTTGGTGCCTCACGGAGGATCCCCCCGACTTGGGCCGCAGGGAGCCCTGGTTCTAAGCCGTTTGCCCCGATTCGATCCTCCCAGCGGTGCCCCACACAACTGTTACAAGGCGGGAGGCCAGGAACGCCCCCAGCCCAGTCCGGATTAGGCCGCAGCCAGGACCTCGCCCTCCGGCTGGCCAGCCTCAACGCCCCCTAAAATTCCCCACGGCTGGATCAGCTCCTAGGAGGCCAGAATGCAGGTGGGGGGGAGCTAGTCCGGTGCCACGCCCACCTACTTCCCCTGATGGGGCGTTGCCAACTGCACTCCAGTTAGCACCGAGGGTGTGGGGTGGGAACACCAGCCCTGCGGTCCTCAACAGGGGGGTGGGGGCCTAGACACCCAGGCAGGAGCAGTGGCTGGTGGTGGTGGGGGAAATTATAGTTCCCTAGGTACCCCTTTACCAGGAGTGCGGGCGCAGCAGATGTGCCAGCAGGGGGCGCTGTGGGAAGGCCGGGAGAGCCGTGTCTAAGCCCAGCCACAATCCGCCACCTTCCCAACCAGGCCTCCCTCCCCCATCACCCACTCCAACCCCTGCCTCCTTTGGATCCGGCCCCCCCATGCACCCTGGGGACCGCTAAGTGCCCGGCCAGCGCGTTAAGTCAATTAGAAAGAGGCAGGGAGGTAATTGAGAGGAAGCTCAGAGGAGCCAAGTATAATCACATTTGCCGGCTCTTCTGCGTCTGCGGCAAAACTCGGCGCATTAGCAGCTTGCTCCCGAGACCTCTGGCGCCAGCCCCACCGGGAAATGGGGCAGGGGCGGCTTGGAAGCCACAAGCCTTTGGCATCTCGGCTGCAGGCAGCTTGGTTTCACAAGCAAGGGGACAGAGTCCTGCTACGTCCCCCCCAGAATCCAAGAGCCGAGTCGGGGACGTCTCCGATTGGCTTGAGAAAGCGGCGGAAAGTTATTTCTGCTCTTAACAGGATGCTGGGTCCCGATCCGCTGCGGGAAGAAGGGAAGGAGACCAGCTGCCTTTGGGCAGGGCTGAGAGGAAGGTCCCAGGAGCAGAAGATGGGGGCGGTGGTGGTCTCTCGTGGTCGATTTTGTCACGAGGCAACGGCGTTAAAGACAGAGCCAGAAGCGCTAAGCCCGCTCACACCGGCACCGTCCATCCGCTGCCGGGAAAAATAAGGCACATCCACTGAATCATTTCACACGTCTCGCACCGACACACAAGCGTGCGAAAGCACCAGGTGCACCGGGAAGCGGGCGTAGGTTCCGTTGCTGATTCACGTGCTTCCAAACTAGTGAATTCTGCTAGAAAACGGGACAGGGAAGAAAACGACAGACCCGGTTTTGGCATCGAGGGCTGTCGCATGTGGGGTCGGCTGCGGTGTAGCGTAGACACACAAGTGGGCACGTTCACGGTGACTCACGTAGATCAGACGCCGGGCCACGATTTCACTACACACCAAAGCCCCCGGGGAAGACACACTGGTGGGCAGGCAAATACCACGACCTCCCACGCTGGCATTTTGCACACGCACTGGCTTACTGCACGGATCGGCTGTGCCGTTCATCGACAGCTCTGATCGAGGTTCGAGCTGGCTCACGACAGCTTCCTGGAGGCTTATATTTAATTCCTGGAGTCTCAAGAGCAATCCATGCTCTCCCTCACAGAGCAGAGACCTGACCTACGTGCAGGGATCGCTATGGCTCACCCAGCCCCGTCCGCCTGCTGTGTGGGGCCTTTCCACCTTGCGCCGGGGGCTGCCGTGGGTGGCCACAGATCTAGAACCGCCCCAACCCAGCGTGGGAGTCCTGGGAGGGGAATTCACAGCTGACACGCACTGGCAGCCCAACCCAGCGTGGGAGTCCTGGGAGGGGAATTC